ATCTCATTATTTCCTTTTATTTTAACTGTACAAGGAGACCTAGGGGAACAGGCTACTCTGTTTGTGACAGTAATTGAATATTTTTTCCTAATGTTATTATAGCAATAAAACAGCAACTACATGCAAAATGAAAGAAGCATTTGAAAATCCCTGATRGTGCACTTTTGCTACTGCAATATTTTGTCCAATGAGTATTTGCAATGGAGATCATTTTCAGCAATGAAATTAGCACAGTCTAATACATTCAACATCAGGCCTTGAGGCTACAGCCAGATAAAATACCCCAGAAGTGACTAAAGATGCATATTCAAAGCTCAATGTATCACATTAAGCACATCAATCAATAAAAGTTAGGCTGCACACCTGCATCTCATGCACTTACAGAGGCTGCTATCACTGAAAGGCTCGTATTCCAAAATAAGTTGTATCTAAATTTTTCTACAAATTTACTCAGGAAAAACACATTACTGGATATTATGCAAAATGCAGAGTCCCAGGAATAACGTTTTCTCTCTATTTCTTATTTATGTCAATGATAAACTTCTCTCTTCACTCTGTCAGTGACAGATTATAACTAAAGGTGAACATGATATAATTTTTGAGCTGAACCTTTGTGCCCTAGCTTAAAAAAAATCATTTTACCTGTCTAATTTCACTACCTACCTTCATCAGAGAAGAGCTGTCATATTTTGATGCAAATTCCAGCAATTTACATGTTTCAAGCTGGCAGACAATGTCTTCCTAGAAAAACTTGCCACCCTTCCACAATCTCCTGTGAAATGGCAAGCCAGGTTAGAAAGATAGAGGAGATTGGATTACCTGTCTGCACCAGATCATTGTTTCTAGGAGATAATCCATAAATGATTAATCCTGCTAATGTTATTGAGCAATGTAAGGAGGGCTGCCTGTGACCTATTTCACCCTCTTACACTGTTGTTGTAGCATCAGCTTTACTGTATAAATCGAACTGAGTATTTTCATTCTCTTGTTTTTATTGAATTGCAACTGTAATTTAATGTTTTGTCTCTGTTTCTTTCAATATTATTTTGGCATCTCTTGAAAGGACCATAACTGTTGGTAACACCCACATCCAAGATGCCAGTGGACACATAGGTAGCTAACTTCTTCTCCCTCTCATTTCCCTTGTACTTTATTAAATTACATTATTTCAGAAAGTGCGGGTGTTTTTAATGTTTTGTGCTTCAGATTTTCTAGAATATTTTGCCAATTGTATAACAAGATTGAAAAAAAAAAAAATTAAAGCCATCCATTCCTTTACAGAATCGTTACTGCAATTATTTCATAACAAAGGAATTTCTAGTTGAATTCACATTTCAGAATTGCAACAGCTGAGAAGCATAGATATTATGCAAAGTAGTTCTGTGTTATATCTGTTTTATACAGAGCATAGAAACAGAAAAAACATCCCATTCCTACAGCTGGGGAAGTCAATAGTCCCAGAACAAACTTCCTAAACCTTGTCACTTCCATAGGATTATCCTGCTAAACCTGGAGTCCCTTTWCACACCATCCTATCCCATCAATTTTAATTGTTTAAATTTACACTGCTGCCCTATAACACTRTTAACATGTAGTAACTTAGAAAACTTTCCTCTGAAGGCAGAAAAAGATTCTGCACAGCTAAAAATAAGCATCTGTCACCATGAATATGCAATAAGGTACCTGTGGCTGTAGCACTGGAGCAGAAAGAGCACACTACAAGTCAGAGCTCCTAGGAAAGGTTTCTGATCCACCTGGCACTCCAAAAGGGAAAAAAAAAAAATAAAAAAGAACTGCCAGGGAAGGTACCTACACTACTTGAGCACTTTATACCATATTTATATAAATGAGGAAAATGCTCAAGTAATGCCACCTGTGAAATAAAAGGATTCGTCAAACAAAATGGCAGCACCAAAAAATTCTAGCATCCCTACCTCTTGTTTTTTTAAACACTTGGAGAATTAAAAGGCAAAATAGAAGTTCATTAAGTAATTGAGGAAGTTATCACCAGGACAATTCACCCTTTCGAGAGCTATGCCCAAATAAACAGTCTGTAGAATTACAGCCATTACCACTGAAAATTAGGGTATAGCTACCAATGCAATTACTAATCAATAGCCCAGAAATTGCCTGCTATTACAATTTAAGGAAAACACCTGCAGACAAACCAAGAGAAGGGTGTCATTTGCAAAACAGCTCATAAAACCAGGAMTTTCTGGCAATTGTTTCAAGTGGAAAACTGCAAAGATAAAATAYAAAGTCTATGAGTCACTCAGATTTGCAGGACTCACTGGACCCTAATTTAGCCTGGAGTAAAAACAGAAAATGCACTGACTGGGAGCACTGGCTGCACTTCCCCCTCATCTGAACTGTAGCTGTAGATCATTTGCTGAGAGTTTTCAGCCAACAAGGGTAAAATGAAGGGACTGAAGAATGAAGACTTTTTCTGTAGGAAGTTCAAAGGAGCGACTGCAGCCCAAATAAGCTTGGAAATACATAAGTAATCTACCAGGGCATGAAAAAGAGTTTTTATAACCAGAGTTTTTATAACTTTTCAGAACTGCCAACAGCAGAGAGCTGCAGAACTGCAACAGAGAGACCCAGCCGTGGTCTCACAAACAAATGGAAGAGTAAAAGAGAATCTTTATTATTTCATCTACCTTAATATTAACATTTGTTAAGGAGACAATGGTGCTTAGGSTAGTAAATTTTGTCCTGTCCTATAAAACCTCAGCAAAATAACTGAACTATAAAACATGACGTTCTCTTCATTTGTTGAAACACAGATTCTGTCCCACTCACAGAGAAAACATGGACAGGGCATCATCCCACTTGTSCCTGGGTCTGTGCAAGAATCAGGAGCAGGGAGTGGGATGAACATTTCCCCAGCACAGCTCTGAGGAGGGCCAGGGAGATCAGCACCACACAAAACTCACAGCACACACCTGAGTAACTCCAGCTTTGCAGTGTACCCCAGGTCATGGCCTGACTCTGCCTGTTGGTGCACTTTGCTGCGCTTCAAGGATGAGGAGGCAGCGGACAGCCCATGCATCATTCCTCAAACAAAGTATTGTATTCCAGTGCAACAACTGTGAAGAYGGGCAGGGAGAATAAATTCACTGAAATGCAGAATTAGAATTAGCAAAAGAAGGAGGAAACCAATCCATAACCAGAAACTGCCACTTCCCATCCTTTTTTTGCTGCTATTTGTGTTTCACTTTTAATTCAAGATGAAGCCAAGGAGTTTTCACAACCGTGCAAATCTCACACAGCAGAAAGATGTCTTTGCCAATAAGTTTTTAAATTTGAAAGATACCTTTGCTTTACAGTAATCTTGCAGAAAGGAGCAGTTGGGCACAGATGTTTAAAATGCCATTTAAAACCYGCTCTCTTAAAAAGTCTTTTTCATTTTCTTCCTGTTTCAGTTGAGTTCCTAGAACATTGTTGATCTATAACATAGTTTTCAAACTTCAATTTCCTCTTATCAAATTTTTCTAATAGGCCGTCAGTGAATAATCAGACATTTTACATCAAAGTATTTTTTTATATCAAAAGTATTACTGTTTACCCTTTAAGAATAAACACTACTAACAGAATCAGCAAAAAACCCAAATTTTGTGRATTAGATTAGGCTCTCCTGTGACTAAACCATTAGGACTTAGACAATTTATGGAGCTCTAAGACATTCCATATGAATTTTATTGGGGTTTCTCACTGATGCTAAGGTCCTGGAATTTAAGGGTGAGTTACCAAAATGAAGTTTTGTGTCTAGATGACTTTTTTTCTCAAAAAAGCCTTTTTACTTTATACTAGAACTGTTTGACACCAAAACAGGTAAAACAATGTTCTGCCCCAAAAGTTTTACAGTTTAAAAAATATTATACTGGAACTTGGTATTTCCACTTCTTGTCAGAAAGACTTTTTATGGAACTGCATAACTGCTGGATCCTTGTTTACAGTTTGTGCATTAAATGTCAGCCATTGTGGGAGAGGATTATACTGCAAAGGACTGTGTAAAAATCAGAACTTTATCCACCTGCAACAGAGAATAACATGACCTGTGGTAATAGAGAGCATAGCAGACATTCTTTGAATGCTCAGGAGGGTCAGGAGCTTGACACAAATATGTTTTTGTTTAGAAATTGACAATCCTGTTGTTTTTTTTTTCCTGTCAGATGGCACAAAACACTACAAAGATGCTTGAACCCAAGTGATCTTATTTTGGAAGTTATTCACGCCTTGGTTCTGAAGAATATTCTATACTTTCCARTTCCTAAAAACCACCAATACTTTGAAAAACTGCAGGAAAAAGCTCCATGCAGTGCAAGTTACACTGTTTTTGTTCCAGCAAATGCAGATAGGTACAACATCGCACTTTACGTAGGACAGTCTACCATCCTATGTACCTTTACTGAGAAACGTACCTGTGTATGTTTATTACAGCTGGGAGTAATATTTAATCCCCAAATTCTTCTAAAATATTGACAATTCCATACTCCACTGCAGACTGTGAAATACTCATACACCAGAAACCGACAGACATGGGAGCAAACAGCATCACCCGCAAGATAACTCCTGAGCCCATGACCCAGCTCATCGCGCTTCACAAGCCAGCCTGCAGTAAACTCCAGAGCCTTTGCATTACCAATAGCGTAAATAAATAATACCAAGATGCGCAGGCCTGCCCTCAGCCCTGCCCACGGGTGTCGGCGGGGGCGCGGCTCCTGCCCACAGCCCACGGGCCCGGGGCCCTGCCAAGGAGCTGTGAGGGGCAGCGGGGACTCGGGACGGGGCCGTGGGTGCCGAGCTGAGGAGAGGGGACCTGGGAAGGGGCCGTGGGTGCCAGCTGAGGAGAGAGACCCGGGACGGGGCCGCGGGTGCCGAGCTGAGGAGAGGGGATCGGGAAGGGCCGGGGTGGGGCCCTGGCGGCGGGCGGAACGGCAGGCGCGGGCCGGGCGATCCGGGCGGTGGCGGGGCCGGGTTCGCCGCTGCACCAGCGCGGCTGTCGCCGTTCGGCGGGCGGGGCTGCCCGGAGCCAAGATGGAGGCGGCGGGCAGAGCGGGGCAGGAGATGAGCCTGGCGGCCTTGCGGCGGCACGACCCCTTTATCACCGGCATCGCCGACGTGACCGGCCAGGTCGCGCTCTACAGCTTCAGCCCCAAGGACAACGAGTGGGTGAGTCCGGCGGGGCGGGCCCGGYCGTGCTTTGTGCCCCGGCAGCCGCCTGGCCCGGCGCGGCCGCAGGGGGCCCGTGCGGGGCTGCGCTCGCCCAGRGAGAAGTTTGAGGTTTGACGCGTTTCCCCCGCTTAGGCCGAGAGASGGGAGAGAGAGGGAGAGGAAGGGGAGGTGGTGGGGGAGAAAGGGTAGGGAGAGGAGAGCAGGAAGACGAAGCGGGAGAGGAGGAAGAAAGGAGAGGGAAAGGCCGTGTGTGTTTTCGGAGAGGCGGTGCCATTCTCCCTCCGACCGGGGGAGCGCTGGGGCTGGAGGGTGTTGTGGCTCCTGGTGGCCATTGACTTTTTCTCTTTTTTAATTATACTTTGTTGTTGTTGCTCGTGCCTGTTGCACAGAGCCCTAATTCAGGAGGAGGGGCATTTAAGAGACATTGGTGTTCGTCTTTGCATTAAAACACAGTTTTGTTTCACCCACTGAGTTCATCACAGAGCTATAAAAGTGGCAACACGGGGAACTTCACATTGTCGTGTGCAGGCCTGGAGCTGCACGAACTTTCGGGGCTGGTGGGTCACAAGCCCGTGGTGAGGGTTGCTCTGGAAGCTGGAATATGAAACAGTCATGGTCCATGGTTATATCGTCTTATTCATCTTGGCTGTGCTGCTGTTGCTGTGCTTGGAGTAACACCSTGGAAAACATCCTATCTGATATTTGGAGACTGCCCTGTCAGGCATGGGAAGGTTGTGGARCACTGTATATCACATCATTGAAAGAATCATGAGGAAAATATTTTGAAAGTGGGTTTGACATCCTAATCTTTCCAATTTTTAAAAAATAGATAGTTTTTGAAAATAGGAGATCATAATTTTAGACTTGTGATGTCAAGCCATAGGGGAAGATAAGGATGTTGTAAGTCTCTGTGATTAAAATACTGTGCAAAATCTGTATAACTGTGAACCAGCACATCCCTGAAGTATTTGTTGTCTTTTGTAGGAGAAAACCGACATAGAAGGGACCTTATTTGTGTATAGAAGGTAAGGGTTGGTTTGTTGTTTTGGGTTGTTTTTTTGAGGAAGGGGGGACTATAGTGGTGGTGATGTTTGTTTTCCTTCATCAAGAAAACTAAACTCCAGATGGCTTCATGCAGAGCTTTTGTACTCATCATTATTACTTGTCCAGCTGTTAACTGCTGTGTGCTCACTCAAAAAGAATAAACTCTGCACATGGAATAAYTCTGTCAAAACCCCCTAAAAGTACTGCTGAGAAAGCATAAAACATGAATGCTACATATATATCCACATCAAAAACTAGTTTATGGAGCTTGTTTTATTAATTCAATAGCATTTGTTTGTTGGAGGTGCATTGAGTTTGTTAAATGCCAAGTCGCCCTTTGTTTCCTAAAATCCATGAAGTTGATTATGAAAACAGTAGAGATGAGAAATTAAATAATCTGTTCTTATTTACTCCTGAAAAATGGTATATGTTTTTGTAAATGCATGAAGTTTCCCAAAAGCTGGAGATCTCGTAGTGTCTGGCTTTGGGGGCTATTTGATTTCCTCATCAAAACCATGAAAGAATTTCCAATTCTCTGGGATGGGTGGAAGGGGTGAGAAAGAGAGCCAGCACATAAAATCAATCCTGAGTTCAAGTTTTTAATTACAGGCAAGTAAAAAATCTACTTCAACACTTAAATAAGTCCTTCAACACTTTCTTGAAGGTGAGAAATAGACATAATGCAGGCTTAAGCCATCCTGAAGCAATCTGTCATAGTTTGGTCATTACAGTATTTTATCCTGATACCGTGTATGGATTTGAGTAACCAGGTGCTGTTGCTTTAGCTCCCAGCTTGGAAATACTTACTGTGAGAAAGTGAACCAAACTTTAAAAAAAAAAAAAAATAAAAACCAAAGCTAAAGCTTTCAGTGTAACTAGTTGATGATTTCAAGTAAGTTCTGTTAGGTACATTAAGAGACTAACTTGTGATGGTAAAGGTTGTTTACCGTCCTTAGAAACTCTTGACAGATTCTTGTTGTCAATCATGTCTACATTGTTGCAGAAATCTTAATGGTTACCAGCTAATTGTGTCTGATTTKTAGCCGGCCTTCACCCTGCTGCTGTTGTTGGTTATACACCTGCTTACAGGCACAGCTGAGTGCTGACAGGACATTTATGCAGCAAGAGAAAACAGATCTAAAACTATCTTGAACTTTCAATGCTTGCTCAGTATTTTCTTTTTCCACCTGGTGTCCAGCAAAAATCTAGATAATAAAAATTACTTCACTAAGCAATACCATTCTGAATAATTTAATACGTACTTTCAGGACACTGGGTTAAGTCCTTCAGAGTCTCTCTTTAGGAAGAAATTATTGTTTATGATTTCCCCTGTAAGTGTATTTCATGCTATTTAAGACAGTAACTCTTCTTTTATTGTCATGTCTATTTACAGTAAGGTAATGGTACTGTGTAAGTGGTTTGGTTTTTATCCTCTAATAAAAAATTCTAAAATGCCTCAAAACTATCTTATGTCAAGTATTGAATACATTTGCATTTTAATGGTGGACCTGCCCTAGTTTTTTTGAATAGATTTTTCAGAGGCATGTCTTTGATTCAGCATTTTAGCAGTGTAGAAGTGTAATGTTAATCCTAATCCTGCTTTGAGGTAGGTGTAGTTTGAAATTGAAATTAGATGGCATGCCAAGGAATGGCATAGAACAACTGTGAGAGCTTCAGCACTGCTAAAGCTTCACATAATAAAGCAATGAGAATTTGAAGATGAATTCATAACTTGGTTTYAGAAAATTATATATGTTGATGAAGGTATTAATTCTTGGTTTTGTTTTAATTCAAACAATAGGTCAGCTTCTCCTTACCATGGTTTTACAATAGTGAATCGACTGAATATGCACAACCTGGTTGAACCAGTRAATAAAGATTTGGAGTTTCAGCTCCATGAACCTTTTCTTCTCTACAGAAATGCTAGCTGTGAGTATAACTTTCACTAATCCAAATAAACTTCAGGCTCAGTTTTATAACGTAGATCACTTCTGGTTCCTATAATGTCTGTTTCAAGTATAATGGAATGGGGCAGGTTCCAGTGAAATATCTGATGATGTTTTCTGTTTACAATGCTAAATTTACTTAAATAGCTGTGCTATTATGTTTTGATGACTGCCTGCTTTCAATAAAAAGGTAATATAATACCGAGGTGCAATAGTGCTCTGTTCTTTTTACTTAATGATCTGATAGGYTTAATCTAAACATGTCTCCTTCCTATCAGAATTTCCCCTTCGGTTACAGATGGTAACACTGCTTTGGCTGTGCTTCAGTGTACCTAATAGACCAGTCAAATGTTAATCCCTTCCTCTTTTCCTCTTGGAAGGCCTCTGGGATCTGTAAGAAGTAGGATAGATTCCATCATGGTGACAAAGAACAGCTTAAGATGAAAWATGTCCAGTGCAGTTAGCATGTCACTAGTTATTTTCTCAGGTGCCACAAGTAAACTGCAGATGAGTTTCTGTGCSCTCTGTTAGTGTTCACTTTGTTAAAAGTATTGCAGATGGCATATAAGCTTTTTATTCCTCATAATTTCCACACCACTAACTCCCTTACATTTTGCATTGTTTTGTTTACTTTACATGAGGTTTTCCAATTTTTCTGTCCTCTGAAAGAGTTAGAAAACAAATTATATGGTTGAATTGTGTTAAGGCAGTTTGCCGCTATTTGCATAGTGTTTGTGAATTTGCAGGCAAATTTGGATTTGTGGATAAATTTCAACATGTGTGTGTTTTATTTGTATGGGTAGATCAGGGGTTTCTTGTCCAAGTTCTCTTCATGCGGAAGGATCTCCACTTCYGCTCAGTTGCCTGCTGGCATGAAAAACCTTTGCATTTTTGGAACTAATTCAAATGAGAGCTTYAAGCCAGTGGTTAATGTAATGTGTKTCTCCAAGGGTTTAATRTTGTGTGTCTCCAATGKCTTAAGGTGAAGTTCTTCTGAGAAACCTTAATAATGGTAAGAAGCTGGACTGCTAGTTTGTGTAAGGAAAAGCTGCCTCTTACACAACCCTGAGTCTTGTACAGTGTATTTTACTGTGTCCTTGAAGAAATCTACTGTCATCATTAGGAACTCTTTTATAAGTTGCCCTGTTAAGGTTGTTGAGTGATTGAACTGCTGATTCTGTTCTTAGCTTAMATATGATCTGTAAGGTAAAAGAAAGCTCAGACTATCTGGTAAAAGCCTAAAATAATGTTTGTTAATAGTTCTGTTTGGCAGGGACAAACATACTTTGTGCCTCTGTAGTTATGTTCTAACCGGTTCAGTTACAAATAGAGATTTGTGCTTCACCAGGGCATGGTAGAAACAGTAGAAGATGATCAAAGCAAAATTATGTCACCACGKATTTGGGGAAGGTTCCATGTCAATGGTATTTGTAACTGAATGTGATACTRCTGTTATACAAACTTCATGTTTTCACTTTGTTCTGGGATTCTGTCTTGGCTTCAGAAGATAATAAGGCCAAGTCTGTTCCATGCAGCAGATCATACCCCTGGCATTTCTGTCTTCAGCAGCGCAAGAGCTGTTCAGAGAAGAACCTACTCCAGTCTGTGCAGAGCCGCTAATGAATTATGTGAGGAACTTCGTAAGCAGTCTACAAACATTATTTTTGCTTGACTGGAGGCTGTAAGAATGATTTGCCTGTCACACTAGATCATAATATTTTGGTGGGGTTTTACCATTCTTTTGTAGTTTGATTTCTCCAAATACTCATACTATACAATTGAATTGTTGGTTTGCTGCCTATCAGAACTTAGTTTTTTAAGCTGTTGACATGAGATGCTTTATCCATTTACACAGAGACATTTTCATACTCTTAGACCAAGACTAGGTAACTGTCATTTTATTCTTATGGGAAATTGCTGATTTTCACAGCTCTTGGAGCAAGTCSCCCATTTTTGCAGGGTGGGGCATGWAGGAAACGTCCATGGGCATTCTGGAAGGAGAACAGACCAAGTGATACCTTTCTTATATCTACCTTTAGCTGTTCTCTGAGCAAAGTGGAAGACTCTTGGGTCAATTTGTTATTCATTATTCTGTGAGGTTTCCCTCTGCCCCCCATACCTTTTTCATATTTCTGCTTTTAATGGGGAAATCTTTCCTCCCTCCAGAATTTTTGTTCTCAAAATTATTCRACTACATAATATGGTTCCAGCCCCAAAAGATTACTGAACATGAAAAGTTGGATGTAACTCTGCCCCAATACTTACACCATTTGTTTGTGAGGCATATGTTTAAYATGCAGTGTTAAAAAAAAGGGTATTCTTGTTTTCATTGTTATAAGAATCAAAGAAAGTAACTATCTCCAAGCACGAACAGATCAAAAAATCGCCAAATTGAAAAGAGGTCATTTGACTTACTGTAACATATTTTGAATTTATAATTACTCTTGAAAGAGAAAAATTTTGAGATTATACTTCATACTTAATGTGCTGTTTATTATTTCTTAGTCTGGAATATGTATTGCCAGGTATATTTGATCCTTGTTGAACTCTGTCTGGACACATGCACATTCTTTAGAGTATTCAGAGTATTTATGCATGAAACACTGAATCCCATTGACCTATTTTTTTTAAATCAACCTAAGCTTGTCTTCTCTTGTCTGTGTTTTGTGAAAAGCATGTTAAACTCTGTTTTAAAAAATGCATACAGTTCTGCCAGTAACAGTAATAGCCCAATCTGAAGTTCAGTACTTTCAATCTGTGAGAATCTGGAGCTCTTAGTTAATAGTTTGCTCAATAATTGAGGAAAATTAGTCAAGTTTTTAAGCAATGGCAAACTTACCTTTTAAAGTCTGCAGGAAAGATTCCTCTGAGCCTTTCTCGTTTATAACTTTTCCTTTGTATTGGTTGTATTGGTCTTCATTAAAAGGGTTTTTAATCCAATCCAATTCACTTGGAAGGTCAGGCAGGCTGATTTCCATGGTGCTGAAGACAGATGTTTAGCATAAAAGTTGGATATTGAAATAAATGGTCCTTGTTTGGTGTGGGGTTTTCATTTGTGGTGGTGTGTTTTTTTTTTCTTGCTTCTTATTCCTGTCCAGTATACAGGACAGGATAGCAATACAAAAATAATGGATTTTGGAGAGGTTTGTACATTTAAGTGGAAAACTCAGTTACAAAGTGCTGTCTTCTGGGCTTTTTGTATTATTGATGAAAACAACTTGTATCCAGAACAGCAAAAGTGAAATGAGTTGCATTAGAACTGTTTCAGAGAGCTCCTGACTGGTTTCAAAACTGGTAAGGAAAGTCTCTTGTTATCACTCATGTTCCATTAAGTGTAACATATCTCTGTGATTGCTGAGGCTCCCTGGCTCTCCAGCAAGCACATTAACCCAGCAGTTTAGTCAGAGATAAGAAAGGAGCCTGTTCTTCATATCTTCATAGCAGAAGAAGCAGTGCAAGCTGGGGGAGGGGAGGAAYGATTGAAAACAGTGAAGAAGTTCTAAAAATACATTATTTGACCTGAAAGATGGCAMTTTTAACTGCAAGAGGTTTTCTTTTGTGGTTTGGTGTTGAAAAGCAGCAGTCCCTCTCCTTCCATGTTATACTGTCAGAAGGCAGTTTGTTGAAGGGTTCCTGAGCTGGGATGCTGTTTGCCACCTGCTGAATTACTCCATGCTCTGGCTTGTGGGATTGTGCTGTAAGCTGTGTTTGTGAAATGGTGTTAAGTATTCAAAAAATAGGAAAGGGAGGAACTTTTTTYGTTCATTCTAATGGTTTATAAATCTATGGGACGGGATAATATCTATGTTGAGGAAATAAATATGAGGAATGTCAGCAAAGATGATACGGGAGCTGACTGAAGAGAGGTGGCATTTCATCTGACATTGCAACTTGAAGAAATACGAGCTTTAAGAGAGCTTTATGTCATTTTGCCTTAAACTCTATTTGAAGTGTAAAATTATGCATATATGTGCTTTTCTTTATGGGAGTGAGATCGGGTTAATTTCCATGATTTCATTATAGGAGGGGGTTCAAAATACGAGTCCTTTTCTTTCAAGAGTTTGAAAGACTCCACTTCCAGTTGGTCTTCGTTTTATGGCAACATCTGAATTGTACCTGTAAAATAAAATTTTCTCTCCCTTCTGCCAACTCTTCCAGATAGTTAAGGGAACTTTTAAGCAAATTGTCTCTTTGAATGAGTTGAAGWTACATTTGTACAAATGGCTAAACTGCCCTGGGGAAGGGAGTGACAGTGTCTGGAATCTGAAACTAGCAGTGCTGATGAGTCCATGTGCACTTCCTCTGGCACACAGTTCCATTTGAACAGTTTTGCCTTCCTGTGTGTCCCTGTTCTTGTTTGTGCTCWCTCTTATGCTCAGATGGCCTTTTGTGAAGCTGATGCAGAAACAGGATCAAGGARCAGGTGTGGACTAAAATGTGCCCAAGCTGACATAAGGGAGAGGGGCCACTTGGGGTACAGTGGGTTAACAACGTTGTGGGAATGTGAGGGTGGGGACACTGACTCTTGCTGCTTGCTTAAAATGAGAGCTGAAGTGAAACTRCAGCTTGGGAATGCAGCTTCATTTTACARTGCCAAAGATGAGGCTTCTGTCTCWGAGTGGCACTTGGCTATTCCCACTCTTAATCCAGATTATAGAAGAATCCAAGGCCTTCCTTTTGGTATTATTCAGCTGTTAGCCTTGAGCAGGAAGTCTTCCATAATCCTTCTGTTCTCTCAAAATCCCTTTGGTTTTCCATTTCAACTTTAATCAGGTTTTAATGATTGATCCAGACAGGTTCAGAGAGAAGTTGAGTGTTATGTGTTTAGATAAATATTTATGGGTCATTGTTTCTAACAAAAATGACATCTGTCAGAGAAAAACATAGATGAAGATAATGGATAACTTTTTTGAGTTTTATGAAACCTGATTTGTCTGGGGTATGGATTAACTCATTACTTCTGGGATGTCAAAATGTGGTCAAAACTGGAAGATTTGCTTCTGATGATTACAAATGGCTGTTACRTGATTAGTGAAGGTGCTGCCCAGCATTCAGTGTAGAAAAGCTGGATGGAAARGTGAGTCACTTAATTCAGTAGCTTCTGTTGGATGAAACTCTTGAAAGAACTGCAGTAGAAAGGTGCCATCACACATAGAAATGTTCAGCAAGTGTTTATGCTGGCTATAGCAAAAAAAATCACATATTCAAAAAGAGGTGGTAAGAACCAGCTCTGGTTTTGCTATTAAGGGTGTTAATAATTGAAGCTACATGCATGTAAGAAGGTACAGTGTGTCTATATATAAGAAAATATGTATCAAATAGTAGTAGTAGTGCTGTTGGGACCCACACATTTTTGGGGCAGGGGAGCTGAACTGGCAGTACCTGAGTCCCCTTTCCAAGAGGAAGGTAAACATTCCAGCCTATTAGACTGTACCTTCATTAATGCTGGAGTTCGGTTGCAATCTGCTTTGTGTCTTTGTAATATTGTTAATGTGTTGCAGTGACTCCCTGTGACTGCTTGCCAGTAGTACARAGTGGACAAAAGCCTGATACTCTGCACCAAACTGAGATTTAGATCTACTTCTGTTCTTGTCTAGGCCTGTTTCTGGCAGAACTGAGTGTGACTTTTATCATTTGTCCCATTAAGATATTATTTTAAGTTCCTTATCTTCATTTCTTCAGCAAGTATGCTTTTGAAGCAGCTTTCTCCTCTTGGCAGTTTGTCTGATAGTGAAGTCAGGGAAGCGAAAGAGCTTTTTTCTTCAGTGCTAAAATATGAGCTACTTCTTYAGTTATGTAACAAACTGGAAACATTTGTAGCAGAAAATCCAATTGTATTAAACTGTAAATTTTAATAAAAGCATTTCATAGGCATTGGCTGCATGTGTGAAATGCTTTTTTATTGGCTTRTGTCTTTTATGCATTGATTTCTTTGTTTATGGCTTGAAATGCTTTGTTGTCTGTTACTTAAGATGGAGCTTCTAAAGAAACAAACACCCAAATTAATACAGTTATTATTTAATGGAAGACAAGAAGCCAACAATTTCAGTTTGTCATAGGATATTCTTACAGAAGTGAGGTGTTTACATGACTTCTAACTGAAGAAAGTTGTGTAATTTTTTTTAAACATTCCTTTCCTTCACTTTGAGTCATATATTTATAATCAGTGATTTTAGCTACATAGAAGCTTTGACATGAACTGCAGTATAAAGATGARTTTTAAAAGGCTGAAAGCATTTTTTCACGAATTAAAATATTTCAGTGGTAACTCATGTAGTGTCCAATTGCTTTTGACATTCTTGCACTTTATGCATTTACAAATTTCATAGGTGAACTAAGATTTAAAATAATCTTCTTTGAGGGTTGGATTCAGTACAATTCTGAGTAGAGTTGTGAGCTTTGTAGTGTTGGTCCAGCTGTGGGGGCAGTGAGGAGCTGAGCTTGTGTATGGGTAAAGGCTCCTTGGAAGGTTTGCTGGGGAAGGAGCAGCTCATGGCACTACTGACAAAGTTTCTCCCTCTGATGGAGGCTCTTTGGCTCAGTGGTTGAGCTCCAACTCAGCAAACTTTCAATGGAATTTTACTTATTCTGAAAGCCAAAAGGAGGCTGAGTGTCTTGCTGAGCTGGAGCCCTTTTGCTCACATTGCTTTGTCCTTGATACCTTCAAAGAGCAGGGGTCACTAGGAGTCCAGTTTTAAGCTGTTCCATGAATATGTCAGTGTGATGGGAGCTTTGCTACTGCTTCCTTCTGGAGAAGGAACCTTCCAGAGGCTCTGACTGAACTGTCGTACTGTAATTCACTGTTTATCTTCAAATTTGACAAATTCTAAAATCTGATTTTTAGTTTAAGTGGTAAAGTCAGTAATGCAAAAAAGGAGATTTCAACTGTAGTGAGAAGGCACCTGCTGGTTAAAACTTCATTTTTCTGCCACTTTTATTTGCAAACAGTATCTAGATTTTGTAGTTCTTGGATTTAATCTGACATTGTATTTATATTTGCACATGTTCTATTTCTGATTACTTTATAAATAGTGGGTGRTGACACCATATTTCAGTGGAAATTGATGGAAATTCATATATTGCAGATCTAATGGACTACTGAGCTTTTGTTATTGATTTAATTTCTGTTTTCTTTTTGTCTTAAACTTGCTTTTTTTCTTGTTTTCTAGTGTCAATTTACAGTATTTGGTTTTATGACAAGAATGATTGTCATCGAATAGCAAAACTCATGGCTAAGTAAGTACTGGGGCCTTATTCTGTGAGCCTTTTATGCAAAACAGAWAAAAATTGAACTTATTAAATGTGTCTGGTTTTTTTCTCACTCTCCTAAAATGATGGAATACAACATTCTTGTTTGTRCCTGTTTTTTTAGTAATGAAAATGATATTTTTGTTTAAAAAAAAAACTGCAGCAGTAAAATTTTCAGTTAAATGATTTWAAAAATGAGTTGAAGCATTAGTTGGCATTCTCCAAAGAAAGTGGTCTTGTCACTGCAGCACAAATGGTGGGCTACAGATACTTCAGGAATCTTAAAAATAGTGATCAGGTAACACACCAATGTAGCCATGGTACAGCAGTCCTTAAAGTACATTTTCCCTTTTGGCTGGTTTGCAATATTTACATTTTCTTCCAAGAGTATTAAGTTTGTTTCACAGTTTTTTTGTCTTGGGGGTGGAAATTTGGATTTGCACCCTTTGGTTTAGGTGGGGTTTTTCTTAATCAGTGAGAGGAAAGAGTGCTGTCTTTATAGTACCTCAGTGCTTTAAAAACATAACCATAAAAGGTTTCAAGGAGATTTGCATTCTCTTCCCTGCATTTGGCTTGACCTTATTGTGCCAGACTGAGTTAACAAGATTGCAGGCCATCCATTTGTATTTTGGTGGCTTATCTTTGAAAAGAAAAGTAAATTAGGCTTTGTAATCACAAACTTCACTTCTCACATTCTSTCCCTTCCCCTGCCCCTCTGTGGGGTCGTGCCAGGTATATTTTCTATGTTATAATTGCAGATGTCCTTCAGCAAACTGTCACAGCAGCTATTGCATCCCTGAAGGAATGTGTGCCTCTTCCACTATCTGATATAATGGAAAGAAACAGCAGGCCTTGCTTAAGAAAGATTTAATCCTGGATTGCACACAGAGCATGCTCAGTGTACAGATTTGCATTAGTTGACTTTTTTTCCCCAGGAAAGGTATTTAGGTATTTGATTTACAGAAATCTACTTTTTTTCCTTTTTTTCTCTCATTGTTTTTAGCATTTTCTGAAATGAAAACGTTTCATGGGAGTCATCAAACTCCTGATTTCAGCAACAGTTAATTTGTGTCATGTTAAGATGATTGATTGACGGATGACCTTTCTAAAAGAATTAGGACAGAAACTGGAGGGCTGCAAGTATTTGTGAAAACTGTTGCATTATGACCTATGAATTAGTAGGGRGCGTTATTTTTAGCTTAGTTTATAAGCTTTGTTTTACCCTGTTTCAASAGTCAGACCCAAAGTGGCTTTGAGATAC